ATATTTAGATGAAAATTTAAAAAAAAATATTAAATTACAGTTTCCACATTTAAACAACCACCCACAACTAGATGCAAACAGGCATCACACTCAGCAAAAATTTATAAAACCATACAAAAACTGAATAACAATATACCTTCAGACTCATCTGAGAACCAATGTTCATCATCTGAATGTTCATCATCAATACTATTCGCTGTCAATATATGATCCACATCGAAATCGAAAAGCATATGCTGGGTGTTTTCGTTAGCAAACTCATCAGGAGAAGGGGCAAACTAAAGGTTAAATTATTAGAAATATTACGCCATAATTTGTACAGTGTATTTATAAAATTACAGTACAATTATATTGAAAACAGCAAAGCGGAAATTTGACCAAATAACAAGTCAACTGTATTAAATGCATTGTAATATACTAACCTTAAATACTGCTCTTGCAGTTTTCACGTTGATGATACACAGAGATTTAACGCCATCCAACTTAGAAAGAAGGGCCTCGCAATTGGGAATATAAACACAATTCCTTCGCTTTGACAGACGGATTATTTATAAAGCTAAAATGACAGCACGTCCCATGCAATTTAATATAAGGTAAACTTGGTATAGTAAAACACAAGTCATAATGACGATCGCAACAATACAGCAATAGCATGCTATTTTCACGAAGTTTTGCAGCCTGACAATTAATCTTGTATTTCGAATGCTTCCATATTTGTTTACTCAGAGAGATGTTCACTCCACGACAGTCAAAGAGTCATTAAAGCCACGCCTGGAATTAGGCGCTCGAACCCATGATGCTTTGCGGCCTGCTTGTCGAACCTCCTCTGGTAACGCTTGTTGATATGGCCACAGAGTATATCCTTACTCTGTGATATGGCCGAGAATATGGCCAAGTTTTCTTAATATATTGAAGAAGAAAAGAAGAAATACTCCAATTTTTGAACACCCACACAACAACTTTAAATGTAAGTGTTCAACTATGTCAATATTCTGAAGTTTCGTATGTAAATATGTGCCATAAATTGTTGTATAATTTCATGTATATTTTTAACCGCCGTGCCGTTGGCCGATTGTATATTTTTGTATTTGGTTTCAACAATATATTGTTATTAAAACTTTGTGATCTTGCTTTGTATTTACAGATTATAATTCCAAGCAATAAATGCTGTCATAATATGTTATTCAAGCAAGTCAAACTGTCGAAATCATGATATATAAAACGACAACAAACTGGAATATTCACTACAGTCTATGACAGGCTACAACTAGAAGGTATGAATATTGTTTATAAACTTTATAATGTATTGACTGAGACGGTATCAATATTGACTCATTTAGCAAATATTGATATAATCTCCAAAGCAAGTTCTATGACTATGGATTTGTATGAGAGGAGAATAATTTTTCCTTTGTCTTTAATATTTATATTGTGTTATCAATAGATTCCAGACAACCTTAAATATGCATGTTGCTGAATTCCCTGAATACATTCAGGATATATGTTTTTCATAATTTTTTCTGTGTTGGTGTCATGTACTCAGGTTGTCGTACTCACCTACATTGGGCTAGTATTCCAAAGGTCGTAGGTTCGATTCCCACCATGGCCAGGCATAAATTTTTTAAGCTTGCCCTGTGGGGATATACTGTATACTCAGAGTAACATCACAAACATTATCATTTATGTTTCTCATATTTATACCTGAGGAATTCCAAGCTCAAAAATTATAGTGTACCCCTGATTGCCCTGAAGGCCTGAAAAAATATCCCAATATTATATGCTAAGTACTATACAGACCCTAATATGGTGTAATAGTAAATGAGTCATGTTCACATACCGTAAAAACAATCACTTTCAAAAGAAATCTATCAGGCGCAGAACACGAATATATGAATATCCCCCCCCCCCCGCATTTTTGGTCTAGCTACGGCCCTGGTCAAGTTGTGTGTTTATTTGGAACTGAGGCAGACCAGATACCATCTGGAGTTCATTGTAGTGTTGTGCCAACTACAAAGAAGAATTCATGATCCATGTTTACTTGAGACTTTTCAGGCAGGTCAGCTCAAAGCACCTGTCTTTATTGCTAAATAAGAGCTGTTTACATTGCCCTCTGAAAATGTACTACCATACGGAACAGATAAAATGGCATTCTTACTGAATGTACCTGTGCTTGGACAAAGGTTTGAAAATGCTATGTACGGTACCGGATATCATATCCAGGCTCAGGGATGCCGAGAGAATTTGTTGGGCCTGGGGCAAATCTTCTTTGGGGGCCTCATGACTAGACCTTAACTAGATTGCATGTGGAGCTACTGTAAGGGGCCCTCAATTTAAAGAATGCTCTAACCAATTTAAAGGACCTATTCAATTTTAGGCTCTCAAGTTAGGACCCTATTCCCCCTCTCGGCAGTTCGTGGATGGTAAAATAATCTTACTATCCAGTATTTTGAAAGAAACCAGCATTGACCTTTGAGATTTGTGAGCAAGGCTTTGGCAATACCCTTGTTTAGAGTAAAACTCTTTGCTATGATTTCACATATCTTTTGAAGTCAAAGTATTATAAACACCCTCACTTTATAACCAATTAAAATAATTATTTATATTTAAAAATGAAAGTCTAAACCTTATATTATATCAACAGTATTTGACTGGATATCTTTCAACTATACGAAATTGCTGAAAACGTTTTATCTGGTGATTCAGAATTGATCAATGTTGGAAATTTGTGGTTCAAAAACCAGGAGAAATGTATTCCCCGGAGAAACCTCCCACTATTGCCTCATCTTAAAAAGAAGTTAGAATTTTGAACAATTTTTATCATAGCTTTAGAGTTGTGTGTTATAATATTTCCCTGGCCACTACCACGAGAATGAAATTATTTAATAATAATTAATATACATTAGGGATGCACCGCTTAAAGCATTTTGCCATCCAGCTGAAGATCAAATATGCCGAATAGTTGGAAAATATCCTACCAGATTCTCCGGCCGCATACTGGATGTAGAGTGATTATAAAATATATGTAGGATATTTAAAATGGGATATAAACTGGCTATAAAGTGATGTTGTTTATATAGAGAACAATACATGGGTGCGCCAGAAATACCAGATTTATTTCGAGTGTTGAACATGATATCTCACGAGCGAGCGCAGCGAACAAGTGAGATATCATGTTCAACACAAGAAATAAATCTGGCATTTCCAAGCACCCATGTATTTTTCTGTTTATTATATAAAGGACAGTCTTTGAAAAGCGATAATTTTTACAGAAAAGCGATAATTGAAAAGTGATAATTTTCACATGTGAGATTATCATGAATAATCTCACATGTGTGATTATCACTTTTATCAGTGCTCGAAATCTCTATAAAGCACAATAATTTTTATAATAAAATACAGTATATTGATTTGAAATGAGAGGAAAGAACTTCACAATCAATTAAACTTAAAATGTCTAATTGCTGCCGAAGGCAGCACACTATTCTTAACATGAAGTATTGCGTGTCTGCGTTTACTTGTGTCCAGTCTCTTTGGCCGAGTTATGTATAGTCGATCGAAATTTCGATTTGAGAATTTGTGTCTGTCTGTTTGTAAAGATGTCGTAATTTCGGGGAAATAATTAAGGCTTCAGGAAGTTTTTTTAAACGAGGGGGGCGGTCAAAATTTATTTTGTATTGCGCTCGCATGATATATGTTCATGGATTTTCACAAATCGACAATATTTTGAATAAGTCAGGTAAGGATAGCTTTATTTCTTTCTGGTGATATTACATGAAGGCATTTATATTTAGATCTGATCTTTAGCGTTCGATATGAGGTATTTGAATCAATAGATCGTCTTTTTAGTATATTTTATAGGAGTCAAAATGATGTACTTTTGTTTTTATATTTGTTTGTGTGGCGATGTGCCAAGGCGATGAGTTTTATAGTGTTCATTCTAGATGTTCATAGACATAACAATTTGCTTTCAGAACGTACGTTTTAAAAACAAACGCTGAATGTTGTGTATGCTTTATAATGTAAAGATATTTCCTATAGCAACCTGCCCACCCATGCAGTTAATCACCCAGCGACAGACGTCAGTGTGGATTGTTGTCTGCATATATTAACTTACCAGCAGTTTAATAGCCTACATGTATTAATATAACATGTCAACCGATTTTGTATAAGGTATGGCGGTCTGTAAAAATATATCTCTGAGATATGTCCATTGTTAGCATCATATGAAATAATCTTACCGGCCTACATTCATATATATATTCACCCTGGTTGTGTGCCTGTGTCACTACATTTCAGGGTATACCATATTTTTCGATAATGCTCACAAATTCATTCCTATTATATAGTTTTGCAGTTCTGATTGAGTACAATCTTAGTCATTACAAATGAATGGTGTCATCTGAAGCAGACGTATTAAACAAAAATGTCAACAAATAGATTTTGTCTCCCCATCAGCAGATTATTCAGTTGTTCTGTGAACATAGCCTTGATGGTGCCATTAAAATGATAATTGGGACAAAAACTGACTTATTTCTATATATGAAATTGTTATTAAATTCTACATGTCCAATGATTCATTCAAGTATTATTATTGATTACATATGATATTGTTCAGTATTCAGTGGCAAGCTAGCCAAGGCAACTGGTCATGCTATGCTAATAAACCTATAATGCAAATAATTAAAAACTTGCATAGCATGACCTGTTGCTATGGCTAGCTTCACCACTGACAGTATTATAATTATACATGATCATACAAAAGCAAGAAGTTATTAGCATTGAAAGTATTCATATAAAATCACCCATGCCAACAAAGTAGAAATAGAATATTTACCTGACCTTCGACATTGTGCAAGGTGTTTGGTATTCAAAATGCATTTTTCCTACCCCATGAACAGGTCTTAGGGGCTGTTTACATGATGGAAGGTGGGATGATTTTGAGTATTGAAATAAGTCACTAGGCTAAATGAAAGTTCAAATGCTGGTTAACAGAACTGAAATGTTGTAGACCATGACTTATTTCAATACATTGAAATTTTAATCACCCTGCCTCGTATCTCATCCTGGCAAAGCAGGATCATATAAACAGCCCCTTTTTCAGCAAATTGCACATGCTGGCTTTGATCCATTGGGGATGAGGCAGCACTTTCCTTGCGATAGTAACTTCTAGTATACTATGTTTATTATTTACTGTGACTTAAAATGTTACTGCCAGAAAAGTTAAAGCTCTTCTGGTTAATTGTTTAACCAGTCTCTTTGCCAATGCGCCCTGTTAAATTGTAGCATGCCCCTAAAAAGTGTTACCTATTGATAGTTTAGCCAAACTTTCTGCCTATTTAAAATCTCAAATATTTACTCTGACACGTCACCACACTCTTAAAAATAGGTGTGCTAAACAACACACCTTGGTGTGTTATTTAACACACAAGGTGTGCTATAAAATAGCACACTAGGTGTGTTTTCTTGTCACTGAACACACAAAGGTGTGCTACAAAACACACCAAGGTGTGCTGAGCAGAACACAGTGTACGTAAAAGGTGTGTTCTGCAACACACCTTTAGCTAACACACCTTTCGAGTAAGGGTAAGGTGTGCTCAATTAACACACCTTTGAAAGATAACACACCTTTGGAAGATAACACACCTTTTAAAATAGCACACCTTTCTTCAATAACACACCTTTTTCTACCAGCACATCTTTTTTGTGCCCCAAAATAGCACACCTTTTTTCAATAACACACCTTACAATAACACACCTTTTACGTTGTTAAATTAAGCACATCTTTTGGTGAAAGGTGTGCTTTTGTAACACACCTTCAAAAAAGGTTTACTAATTAAGCACGCCTTTGCAACAAACACACCTTTTCAACTTACACATTTTTCATAAAGGCGCAGAAATATCCCATGCAAGGATCTTTAACCTATATTCCAATCTACAGTATTTATTTATTCAAATACTGTAGAATTAGGGCGGTATTTGCTATACAAATTCGTATAGTGAAAGAGCTGCAATTTCGTATAAAATCGTCACAAGATTTACCTGCTTGATGCGCTTTTCATTCGTATGTTGCCAAGTCAGGTTGCTGTATATTACCAGTATATCGCGTTCTTATTGTTGAATCGCAAACCCGGCTATCGAATGTAGCCAGAAATTGTCAGCGAGTTTTTCTCGTCAAACCTTAATCTATATCCTTTATTTGCTGCGTATTTAATCTGTAATTTGAACTTGTGGAATGTTCTGTTGCGGAATATAATTTGCGGCAAGTGGAAGTTACAGAATTTCACCTATTTTTCAACCAATTAACATGCTTAGAATATCACGTGTTGTAGTAATTCGATCTGTTGATAACAAGCGCTAAGTTCGATCTTTTGAGAGCAAACATTCAGAGAGGAAAGGATTTTTATTCAAATTTTCTACTTATAAAGTTCCAAAGACCTAATGAAATACATGGAATTTGTTTTCAAAGGTATGTCTATTGTGTATTTACTCATTTGTATGCGGATAGTTACTTGATATACTGTATAGTTATGTTTTTAAATCGAAGGCTTGTATTTGTATTAATACTTTTTTACCGAAGGCATCTAAACGTTCAGTTGTAAATTTTCGATTAATTTCTATTAGCAGAAGTGTATAAATCTAATCTACACTCTACTTATCTGTGTTTTAAGAAAATCGTATAGCTTATTTGTGTGATACACGTGTATACTATATTTCCTGTGAAATATTTGCCATTTATAGTTGACATGTATTGTATACTTGCAAATCACATAAATACAATGTGATTTGTTTGAAGTCAAATTAACAGCATATAGATAGCATTGTAATAGCCCATCTCCAAATATTACCCAATGTGTGGCATGTGCTTGCTATGGTATTAAACCCTCCTCTCAGTCACTCTAAAACATGTGTAATGAGCTGCTTATACGGTCAATATGGAGGAAAGCCCGGCTATAGCTTGCTTTCCCTGGATGAATGTCTGTTTACCTGAGCCTCTTTAGATGGGCAGGCTCGCCAAATCGAATCAACCAGACTGAATTTTATAATAGAAGCAATACGGTAACCAACATCACACTTTTGCAGACAGTTTCGAAATGTAACTGATAAAAACAATTACCGAGATATTTTAACCTTTAAGTGGCAATGCGCCCCACTTTATTATTTTACTTTGTCTAACATCAGACAATTTTACTTGTTAGGTGGAGAATCTGCCCCTCAATGGGTTAATTAGACTATCTGCCTATAGGATGCACCCTGTTTATCCTGTAAGGGGCAATGTGGCCAGATGTGCCATACTTTATTATTTTACTTTGTCTTATGCCTAACGATGTTACTCATCAGGGGGAGAGTGCCTGAATCCAGTACATGCACTACAAAAAAAATTATCTGACAATGAAAACATAAACTTAAATTAAAGATGCCCAGATTTTTGCGGCTGCAAGGCAACTTGCCCAATCGGGCAAGCAAGATAAAACGTTTACTTGCCCGTCATGAATTTCACTTGTCTCTGGCAATTAGTTGGCAAGTGTTAAGTTACACCTCTGCTTGCTTTGTATACTAGAAAATAACCAAAAATAGCAAATTCATTGTCACTCAATAATTTGCTTCTGTTATATATCAACCTTATATATTTTTTCTTAATAGTGGTGGTATTTAATATGGATTCATTACCTCCGCCAGGAGGTTATGTAATCATCTGGGTTTGTATGTGTGTGTGTGTGTGTGTGTATGTGTGTGTGTGTGTGTGTGTGCATGTGTGTGTGTGTTTGTCTGTGAGCACGATAACTCAAGAAATACCAAACATATCCGTACGAAATTTTTTGAATGCATTTCCCATCGGCTAAGGAAGAACTGATTAAAATTTGGTTGAATTTGGTTAAAAATTGAACGAGAAATGAACAAAATTTTGTCTTGCTTTTGCCGGTCAATTAACAAAATATATTACTGAATGCGTAATTAGGACGTGTATAATTTATGCACTCAGTGCTAAGACAGTAATGAGATGATAAACCTCATTAAGCTTCGGCCTTCATTATCTATTGTCTTGGTTGCATTTCACGCGACCGAAATTCAATGTCTAAAACAAGGCTTACGGAGTTACGCATTATTACGTTCAGCAAAGTGCCAGTCCATTCAAATTCTAACAACATTACATTACTTCAATACAGGGTGTATAAAAAGAACGCAACCTCGGAATTTCCCAAGAAATCGACATTGTTTTAAAGACAAAAGATTTTAGCTGCCTGGGAATTTAAAATAGCACAACTGTGAAAATTACTGCACGCGCGAGTGCATAAAACAAAATTTATGCATTTATTTAATGACACTTAATAAGTTTTTATTTTACAAGTACTGTACAGTACAACAACAGTAATATGTTCTATTAGCAATTCGATTTCAATTCGCGGGGGCCTGAAATCTTTTATGCTTAAGAATTATAAAGTCGATTTTTTAGGAAATTCCAAGGTTGCGTTTCACTTCCGAGTAACGGGCGGAGGTATGCAGTCTCTGAGTGCCTTCTAGTTATATCATGTGATGCTGAATGAAAAGTTATCGAGGCATCCCAGGAGAAGACAAGTCATCTAAACAAATGGCAATATATATATAATCATAAATGGCATTTAAGTACTTCATGGTCTATTTGGAAAATGTTATTCTTTTGCTGGAGAGCATGTTTATGGATTAGCAAACCATGCAGGGAAAGGACTAGGAGTTGCCGACTTGTGGTATTGTAGTACAGCTTGTTTTGTACTAACATTTATTGTAGTTAATGGACTTTCACGACATTATACATATATATGCTTGATTGACCACTGACACTACATGCAGTGTATTTTACTTGTAAATAATCAAGATTGAACAGAATGTTTAACCCTTTAAGTGGCAATGTGCTCTAAGTACTTTATTATTTTATTATTTTGTGTCCAATGCAAGGTATGCTGCCACTCAATGGGTTAAAGTCTTTCTGTAGATGGAAATTTTGAACAATAACTATCATGTAATAGCTATTGTGCCGGGAATGAAACCCCTGTGATTTGGATCAGCTCCTTAATTGCAAAGAGTCCATCAAGCCCCAAGAGTCAATGAAGGTCACGAGGAGTTTATGTATATAATACTCAGGGGCGGATTCAGACAGGTTTGACAGGTTTATATAAACCTGTCAGATTTTCCAAAGAAAGAAATCTATAACCTTCCATGTACATATATAACTAATTTAAAGAATATTCTGTTTCATAAACTTGATGTTGTCAAATCTACTACGCCATTTAAATACTCTTATTGAAATTTGATTCTGGATTACCGAGCGTATTTAGACCTACTTACATAATATTATAATAAGCATTTAATTAATTAAGGACTTATCGCGTTGGTTTCCTCTTACGAAATGTTGTAATACTAGACAAATAATCTGCTAATGTATCGTCGTGGGTCGTGGACTGAAACATAGCATGAATCACACATAACCGCCCGCAATTATGAGTAAACCGGTGGTCAGAGTTTTCTCAATGAGAGTAAACCGGTCGATACGCCATTCGATTGGCTAAACGGCTGAGCTCCGACGGATGTAAACCGGTCATAAACCTGTGAGTCGAGCAGTATTTAGAGAAAACTGGGAAAAAGTTAACAGAACTCGAGGACGCGCGAAATATGTTTATAATTTTGCGTGACTGAAAATTGCGTTGGCGATAGAAGCATTTACATGGATTTCTTGTTCATTTTGAAGGTTTGTTTAAAAGTATATAGTCTAAAGTTATAACTGTAAGCCATTTCTACTTACTGTATAATAAATATCGATCCGTCAACAAGCGTATCGATGTTTATACGTGTAACTTCTACATAGTCTACACTCATGATAGCGCGAAATATGTGTATAATTCTTTTAATATTGCGTGACCGAATCATTGCGTTTGCGATAGAGAATCAGGAAATAATTGTAAAGCTTTCACGCTCTTGCAGTTTGGTTTCTATTTCATTGTTACAGTTGGTTTGAAAGCGTATAGATCTAAAATTACAACTATGTTTAATATATTAAAAGCATCTGTACTTGTTGTACTTATAATAAATATCGATGCGTCAGCAATTTGCCAATCCTATATTTTTATCACCAGCTAATAAGTTTCCGAAAAGGTTCAATTCATTGTTTGAGCTGCGTATATTAGTCCAAAATTCTCTTAAAAGTATGTATTTTCTAACCATTAAATTAATTTAAACGGTGACGCCAGAACGCAGGAAATGCTGTTTCAGAGGCCCGAATTTTAAAACTTTCCCGGGGGTGCATGCCCCCGGACCCCCCTAGTTGTTGTGTGGACCTAGTAAACCTGTCATCTAAAACGCTGGATCCGCCCCTGATACTGATACCAGTTAACTTAATATACTGACACCACCATGGTTTATATATGTACAGCAACTTGTGCATGGCGAGAAATATTGGACACGCACGCGCAGTGAATTCACAGACTTCGAAAAAAATTGAAACAAAATAGGCATGCGAAACTATAGGAGTTTAAATGGGGAAAAGAAGAAGTATGGCCTTACCTCAAAACTCTTTTGAAAATGTATCTCATTTCCAATTGATTTTGTTTCAAGACGTAAAACCCGATATTTTGATATAATAAGTAGTATTCAGAGGTTGATATCTCTTGCGGTTTTTCAGAAAATAACCAACAGCGTATGAACATAGGGAAATGCAGTTAATGACATCCAATTCTCAGTTTTGGCTATCGATCATCTCAAATTTTCGGGAGAGCAGCCAACGATATGAGAACGTTTCCAACGGTTTTCAAAACTCCAAGCGATGATCTTGAACACTCATCATTGCAAAAACATGAAGAATATATATCTCTTGCGGTTTTTCTCTTCAAAATCAGCATGTTTTTTGCTTATATTTTATCAAAATCAGCCGTTTTCCATCAAAAACCCTTCGAGAAAGAACTAAAGTTGATTTTCATCGTCCATCTTTGCTAAGCAACCAAGCCTTGGCTTGTTGCCATGGTTTCAAACATTTTCGGGTATTTTTTTTCGCAATTTTAGTCATTTTCGGTACCAATATCAGCTTTTTTGCCGTTGCAGTAATCTTGAGTGATCTAATTTTGTTTATCGTGCGCACGTCGCATCCTGATTGGCTAAATATAATTAGAACAATTGATGAAAGCGTTCATTGTTCTGAAGTATGAGAATCACATCGGCCAGGATGTCAATAACACTCAGTTCCTCAGATTAACCTTCAGTTGGCTTTCCCGGGCAAATATAGGCGCTAATATTTAAATTAAAATTATTTGGTTCAAATGCAAATTTACTATTTGAAAAGGCTATGTCTACAAACGTGTTGGAAAGCAATGACGTTACTGTTTTAATTGATGAAGAAAACATAAGAAACAAGCGTGTTTATATCAACGAACAAGGAAATAGAGGCGAGGTCCTTTGTAACTTATCAATAAAGAATAAGACATTAATTGACTGGGAAATATTGAAACTGAAAAGGGACCAAAGCTACTTGGAAATATTGAATAATCATATTCCTGGCAAAGCTTTCATAACAGTAGCCAAAGACTAGACGAACGTCTCAAATCAGAAATTAGCAAGACTAAAGCCAAACTAAAGAGATTAAACAGGAAGGGCACCAAACAGCAAAGAGAAAAATTTAAAAATTCCTGGAAAAAGTTTGCCATCTTAAACAGTGATATTGTGACTGCTGAACAATGGCAGGACAAGATAACAACATTAGAAAGAAAGAACACCGATTTAGAAGAAGTTAATTGCGATTTGGGCAACCAAGTGGAAAATTGGACCAGGGACTATGCAAACTTAGAACAATCAAAAAAAATACTTTTTGAAGAAATGGTTGAAGAAATGGAGAGTGAAATTGACAAAGAGAAGGAAAACAGTAAAAAAATGAACGCCGAAATTAAAAAGCTGAAGAGATTGGATGGTCGTGTAACACATAAATTAACTCCCCTGGAAACTGTATCGAACAAACAAAGAAAAAGGAGAATATCTGAGTTTTCATCAAATGCTCAAAAAGCCTTATGGTTCTCTGAAGCGTTTGGTTTTCATCTTGACACAATGCTGGTGACAGATGACCATGCTAACAGATACAAAATCCCGTTAAGAGAAACAATGCCCAAGTTAAATATGTGCCAGCCCAAATACCAGTACAAGAGCCTTCAGGGTGTGCAAAGCACTATGAACGGTTGAACACTGATGAAAAGGCCAAAGTGGAAAGAGTTCTGTTTTTGGTAGATAAGTTTGGAGTAAGCGACAAATTTGTGCATGAAATTTCAATGGTATTTCAAGATTTGCCAAGATCCTATGTGGTTAAGGAATGTAGACTCAAGATTAACAGCAATTGTGTGATCTCACCAACTCCTGGCAGTTACCCTGGGGCCCAGGTATCGTTCAAAGAGAAACTGGCAAACAAATTAAAGTCGATGGCATGTGCTTTGCAATTATGCTATAAATTTTGATTAAATACTGTACATACTGTGTAATATTAATATTATTAATATATTAATTCCATATTTTCATTCGACTCTCTTTAGGAAGAAGCAGGACACCTTAAGAAAGACCAGCCTGTGAGAGTTAAAGTTAGTGGCGATGGAGCCAGAATGACAAGATTAACTGGGTTTGTTCTCCTGAGCTTTGCTATACTTGACAACAAAGACGAAATTCTAACAAGCAAAGGTATGGTCAGATTTTATGATGTACCTGTATTTTAAATTGTATTGTTCAGAAGATTACAACACGGTACCCTGGTTCCAGAGGTTTATTTTTATTAATTTAAATTGCGAATGGGAGATGAAAAATAAACCTCTGGTTCAAAGTGGCAATTGATTCATCGAGCCGTGCCAATCAGTTTGAATTATAGTCAGATCCTGACTCTCTCCTGATTGGCTGATTGTATTAAAGCTTTCTGATTGGTTATAGATGTTTTATTTGAACCAATCAGAGAGCTTTAATACAATCATCCAATCAGGAGAGAGAGTCAGGATCTGATCCTAACTCAAACTGATTGGTGCGGCTCGATTAATTAATTGCCGCTTTCAACCATAGGTTTATTTTAAACCTTTGGAACCAGGGTGTAGATTACAACCAACTGGCCCTAAATTATACCGGTCCAATTCCTGTTTAAACAATCCTAAAATATGCCCAATTTTGGCTAAAATTGTCTGGTGTGTGACAAAATTACATAGTGTGCTTACACTAGCTTATCTTAGCCAGGGATGGATTAACTTATACAATTATTAGTTCTTAACCCATTAAGCAGCAATGTTCCAGAAGTATCCCACTAACGCCAGACGATTTTACTCGTGAAGGGGAGCACGAATCTTGCACTCTAATGGGCTTAATTATTAGTTTAGTTTTTTTTATTCAGGTACAATCACAGTGGCTGTACTTGCTGCACCGGAATCTTATGATACCATCAAAATAGGCTTCGTTGATGCGATAAGGGAAATTAATGAGGTTATCAGGGATGGCAATGTGGAAATAGAACCTGGTAACAAAATTGCTGTCGAGATATTTCTTGGAGGGGATTACAAGGTTAGGAGAATTATAATTATGATTTACAAAAATATTTAATATGCAAGATGGGGTGAGGGTTTTTTATTGTTAACTAACTAAGGATAGTGTTTTGTTAATTCAAAATATATTTCCTTATATTAGTGATTTATTGCTCAATGATTTATTAGTTCTTGCTGATTGTGTGTGGCCGGAGTGGTGCAACATCCATCTGTGCATGTATCTGGTGTAAGATTATTATGTGCATGTATCTGGTGTAAGATTAAGGCAAGTAAATTACCCTGTATCCTATCAATTATTTTATCAGCTGTATGGCCTGTTTCTATAAAGCAAAATTATTAGGAGAAATGTCCTAATCATCATTCATGTTTTGAACACTAGTGAATTTCAAGCTTACTGTATTCATTGAAGCATCTATCCAGTAGTGCTATATGTTGTAATGTATATACATGTAGTGTCAGTAGTGAATAAAATTTTAGTACAGTGCCCTACCTGTTCAGTGTTCAAAGCAGGGGCGTAGGAAGCACCTGGAGTTTGGGGGGGCACCGGCTTGTAGGGGCACATTACTATCGGAAAGGGCACCTAAAAAATTTTTCCCGGAAATGTTGTCGGGGGGGGGGGAGAAATTTCTCCTGAGGAAAATTTTCCGTCGTATCATACCGAAATTTATGTTTGTGACCTAATTTTTTAAAAAAATTTGTAAATTTCCACACAAAAACGGCACCTATTGTTTTAATTTAGTATTTACAGCGACATTAGCTTCTACAAAAGGGGCACTTTTCCTCACAAAAAAGGGCACTTTTCAACACAAAAAGGGCACTTTTTATAAAAAAAAAGGGCACTTTTAGTCCTTTAAAAAAATTTGGGGGGGGCACGTGCCCCCCGTGCCCCCCGCTTCCTACGCCCCTGGCTTCGCCATATGAGCTCCACGCGTGGTTCGGGGATTAACACGAAATTTGTGCGGCTAATGGCCATATATAGGCCAAGGACAAATTAATTAAACTTTTGTTCGATTTGGGTGAAAATTGGATGAGAAATTAACAAAATCGAAAATTTTCCGTCTTGCTTTTCCAGACAGAGTAAACTAAATGCATATAATTAGTCCATCTGTCCATTGTATAATACACCCTTTCGGCAATTACGTCACACATATTTTTGGTCTTGGAGCCTTCCTCTTATTAGTAATTTACTCAAGGTGATTGGCTCACGATTCATGAGAGCGAGGCTTCTAGGCCAAATGACGTAATTAGCGAAAGGGTGTATTTATGCATAATATCTTGTCTTATAACTAACTGGCAGAAGCATATGCAGTCCGTCTGAGTGCTCTCCTGTTTAATACTTAATCCTTATAGCTTAAATTAATTTAATATATATGGCTCGCCAGAATCAGAAACCGGTGTGTAAAGTGACCACAAATAATTTTCAAATATCGTATAATAATAGTAGTTTTTAGTATTCGATCTAAAATTATAAATACAAGAATTATCTACTAAATAAAGTAAATTAATAATGAGAAACAACATGAACTTACTTCTTTGGCCTATATCACTTTACAATATACCAAATATGAACCTATTTCTGAACGTTAAACCTCGAGCAAACAACTTAAAACCAACGTGTTTATTTCCCGCTATTTTTCTGTCACGTGACTGTGTCTGTTCAATGACGTAATTACTGATCTATATTAAAATTAGCAAAACATCCTCCACCCCAATGAGGACATTGTTCTCATTCTATTCTCCGTCCACGGGGTGTATTACTGAGATTTTAGTAATAGGTCTTCGTTAATTACCATTTTGTGTTTTAACTGTTACATTTCAAACTTTTCCATCTTTACCTGGGTGAACTTCAATAATTCTTCCGATCGTCCAATTGCCTCGTACCGCATTCGAATCAACTAACAGCACAATATCGTTGACTTTGACATCGCGTCGTTGAACATCCCATTTCTTTCGTGAAACTAAGCAGGGGAAGACGTCTCTGGTCCATCGTTTCCAAAACGAGTCAAGAATCTGTTGTAGAAATTCAACTCTATGACGCGGGTTCTTTGTCTTCAGGAATGGTCTAGCTTGTGGAACATGCGAGGAAGCTTTTCCTAATAAAAGGTCATTCGGACATACGTATGTACCATCATCGGGGTCGTTGATTGGTCTACCAGTTGGTCGTTGGTTTACCAGATTTTCTACTTCAAGCAGTACGGTGATCAATTCAAATGGTGTGAGAAGGTTATCTCCCATAGCTTGTTTAAGGGCTAATTTGCAACTTTTTACCAACGATTTGGCACATCCGTTTTGATGTGGGGCATTAGGTGTGGTGTAATGAATGCTGCATTCTCCTTGAGTTTCTTCACATCCCAACCTTGGATCGTCTTTGCCAGTTCGCTCTCTGCGCCGACCAGTTGTGTTCCATTATCGCTCAACATTAATGAATGGTAACCTCTAATCGCGAAGAATCTTCGGAGTACTTGAATAAATTCCAATGTCGAACAGTCTGCTGCAAGTTCCAAATGAACTGCCCGAGTATTCAGACAAGCAAACACTACACCATAGTGTTTAGAGGTTTTATTTCTTCCAATTTTGATTTATACGGACCGAAATAGTCACAAGCTGTATGGTAAAATGGAGGCGTTTGAGGCATCAATCTTATCTTCGGAAGTTCGGCCATAACTTGCGATTCAACCTTTGGATGCGACTTCTTACAGTAAATACATATTTTCTCTTGTCCCAAATTTTGCGCCCGGATAATCCAAAATTTTCTTCTTATTTTCGACGCTGTCGACGCTATTCCAGTGTGAGTAATCTGATGTACATATTTGTTAATCAGGTATGAAATGTGGTGGTCCTTAGGAAGAAGACTGGATGATTCTTATGATTCCTCTGTCATCTGTGAATGGACTAAGCATATTGAACTCTTAGTTCTTAACACGTTCGTGTAACTCTTTTTGTGCTGTCTTGATCCAACTGTCTTAACTCCTCAGCCTGTTCTAACTCAACAGCTGTTAACGGGTCGACAATATCTTCGGATTTTGTTTTTAATCGTAGATTTCATATGAATCGTAAGATCCACGCCGTCACTCTCACCAATCTCTTCCACGGCAGAACTGCACCTCAAAATTTGTGCATTATTCACAAAAATTGGAATTTAAAACTAAATTTTTAAGCAATGTTTAAAGATGCAGCACAGTCCGTATGTAAATAAAGGCATTGTTTACATTTCGGTATCCAAAATATAGAATTTATTCGAAAACTATTTATATTTTCATGAATCTAGAGTATAATAAATTATCAAGACACAACAATCAAGCTTTGCATGAACATAAAATGAAATAAAAACGTAAATAAACTGTTCGTATAATAAAAAGAGGGCTCGATCCTTTGTGTACATACGCAGATCGGACTGTACAGCATCTTTAAGCAATCTTTGTTTAATTTTTAACCAGTTATAGTAAAATTAATGCTATAAATCAAGCAATATACGTTCGTTTACAGATTTTATTTTGCACCTTTAGCGCGGCGCAACGAATAAAATTGTTCAAAATTAATGTCTGTTAGTTAAAATTAAAGTTTGCCCACCCATAAAAGCCACAAGTAATCGAGTATCCATACAGTAAAGTTTTAGCAAATATTGCTGCCCGGAAAAATTGTGAAAAAGGCAAAATTGAGAAAAGTGCCCTTTTCAAATGGTTGCCACTGCCTCTTCACAATGTTTCCGGCGCCCCTGCGCTGAGGACAAGGTTCCTGACGCTGAGGACAAGGTTCCTGAGGCTGAGGAGAAGGTTCCTGATGCAGAGGACACGGTTCTTGACGCTGAGGATCGGACAAGGTTGAGAAAAGTGCCCTTTTCAAATGGTTGCCACTGCCTCTTCACAATGTTTCCGGCGCCCCTGCGCTGAGGACAAGGTGCCACTGCCTCTTCACAATGTTTCCGGCGCCCCTGCGCTGAGGACAAGGTTCCTGACGCTGAGGACAAGGTTCCTGAGGCTGAGGAGAAGGTTCCTGATGCAGAGGACACGGTTCTTGACGCTGAGGATCGGACAAGGTTCCTGACGCTGAGGACAAGGTTCCTGACGCTGAGGTCAAGGTTCCTGACGCTGAGGACAAGGTTCCTGACGCTGAGGAGAAGGTTCCTAATGCTGAGGACAAGGTTCCTGACGCTGAGTACGTACAAGGTTCCTGACGCTGAGGACAAGGTTCCTGACGCTGAGAACAAGGTTCCTCACGCTGAGAACAAGGTTCCTAGCGCTGAGGACAAGGTTCCTAACACTCAGGACAAGGTTCCTGAGGCTGAGGACAAGGTTCCTGACGCTGAGGACAAGGTTCCTAACGCTGAGGACAAGGTTCTTAGCGCTGAGAACAAGGTTCCTGACGCTAAGGACGTACAAGATTCCTGACGCTGAGGACAAGGTTCCTGACGCTGAGGACAAGGTTCCTGAGGCTGAGAACAAGGTTCCTGACGCTGAGGACAAGGTTCCTGACGCTGAGGACAAGGTTCCTGACGCTGAGGACAAGGTTCCTGACGCTGAGGACAAGGTTCCTGACGCTGAGGACAAGGTTCCTGACGCTGAGGACAAGGTTCCTGACGCTGACGCTGAGGACAAGGTTCCTGGCGCTGAGGACAGGGTTCCTGACGCTGAGGACAAGGTTTCTGACGCTGAGGACAAGGTTCCTGACGCTGAGAAGAAGGTTCCTAACGCTGAGGACAAGGTTCCTAACGCTGAGGACAAGGTTCCTAGCGCTGAGGACAAGGTTTCTAACGCTGAGGACAAGGTTCCTGACGATTGAGGAGAAGGTTCCTAACGCTGAGGACAACGTTCCTGACCCTGAGGACAAGGTTCCTGACGCTGAGAGCAAGGATACTAGCGCTGAGGACAAGGTTCCAAACGCTGAGGACAAGGTTCCTGAGGCTGAAGACAAGGTTCCTGAGGCTGAAGACAAGGTTCCTGACGCAGAGGTCAAGGTTCCTGACGCTGAGGACAAAGTTTCTGACGCTGAAGACAAGGTTCCTGACGCTGAGGACAAGGTTCCTGACGCTGAGGACAAGGTTCCTGAGGCTGAAGACAAGGTTCCTGACGCAGAGGTCAAGGTTCCTGACGCTGACGACAAAGTTTCTGACGCTGAGGACAAGGTTCCTGACGCTGAGGACAAGGTTCCTGAGGCTCAAGAGAAGGTTCCTGAGGCTGAGGACAAGGTTCCTGACGCTGAGGACAAGGTTCCTGACGCTGAGGACAAGGTTCCTAACGCTGAGGACAAGGTTCCTGGCGCTAAGGACAAGGTTCCTGGCGTTGAGGACAAGGTTCCTGACGCTGAGGACAAGATTCCTGACGCTGAGGACAAGGTTCCTGACGCTGAGGACAAGGTTCCTAGCGCTGAGGACAAGGTTCCTAACGCTGAGGACAAGGTTCCTGGCGCTGAGGACAAGGTTCCTAGCGCTGAGGACAAGGTTCCTAACGCTGAGGACAAGGTTCCTGACGCTGAGGACAAGGTTCCTGGCTCTGAGGACAAGATTCCTGACGCTGAGGACACGGTTCCTGACGCTGAGGATCGGCCAAGGTTCCTGACGCTGAGGACAAGGTTCCTGGCGCTGAGGACAAGGTTCCTGGCGTTGAGGACAAGGTTCCTGGCGCTGAGGACAAGATTCCTGACGCTGAGGACACGGTTCCTGACGCTGAGGACCGGCCAAGGTTCCTGGCGCTGAGGACAAGGTTCCTGGCGTTGAGGACAAGGTTCCTGACGCTGAGGACAAGATTCCTCACGCTGAGGACAAGGTTCCTGACGCTGAGGACAAGGTTCCTAGCGCTGAGGACAAGGTTCCTAACGCTGAGGACAAGGTTCCTGACGCTGAGAACAAGGTTCCTGAGCCTGAGGACAAGGTTCCTGACGCTGAGGACAAGGTTCCTGAGCTGAGGACAAGGTTCCTGACGCTGAGGACAAGGTTCCTGACGCTGAGGACAAGGTTCCTGACGCTGAGAACAAGGTTCCTGAGCCTGAGGACAAGGTTCCTGACGCTGAGGACAAGGTTCCTGAGCCTGAGGACAAGGTTCCTGACGCTGAGGACACGGTTGCTGACGCTGAGGATCGGCCAAGGTTCCTGACGCTGAGGACAATATTCCTGGCGCTGAGGACAAGGTTCCTGGCGCTGAGGACAAGGTTCCTGACGCTGAGGACAAGGTTCCTGACGCTGAGGACACGGTTCCTGACGCTGAGGACCAGGTTCCTGACGCTGAGGACAAGGTTCCTGGCGCTGAGGACAAGGTTTCTGGCGCTGAGGGCAAGGTTCCTGGCGCTGAGGACAAGGTTCCTGGCTCTGAGGACAAGGTTCCTGACGCTGAGGACAAGGTTCCTAGCGCTGAGGACAAGGTTCCTAACGCTGAGGACAAGGTTCCTGACCCTGAGAACAAGGTTCCTTAGCCTGAGAACAAGGTTCCTGACGCTGAGAACAAGGTTCCTGAGCCTGAGAACAAGGTTCCTGACGCTGAGGACACGGTTCCTGACGCTGAGGATCGGCCAAGGTTCCTGACGCTGAGGACAAGATTCCTGACGCTGAGGACACGGTTCCTGACGCTGAGGATCGGCCAGGGTTCCTGGCACTGAGGACAAGGTTCCTGGCGCTGAGGGCAAGGTTCCTGGCGTTGAGGACAAGGTTCCTGACGCTGAGGACAAGATTTCTGACGCTGAGGACAAGGTTCCTGACGCTGAGGACAAGGTTCCTAGCGCTGAGGACAAGGTTTCTAACGCTGAGGACAAGGTTCCTGACGCTGAGGACAAGGTTCCTGGCTCTGAGGACAAGGTTGCTGACGCTGAGGACAAGGTTCCTGAGCCTGAGGACAAGGTTCCTGACGCTGAGGACACGGTTCCTGACCCTGAGGATCGGCCAAGGTTCCTGACGCTGAGGACAATGTTGCTGACGCTGAGGACAAGGTTCCTGGCGCTGAGGACAAGGTTCCTGACGCTGAGGACAAGATTCCTGACGCTGAGGACAAGGTTCCTAACGCTAAGGAGAAGGTTCCTAACGCTGAGGACAAGGTTCCTGCAGCTGACGTTGAGGACAAGGTTCCTGACGCTGTGGACAAGGTTTCTGACGCTGAGGACAAGGTTCGTGACGCTGAGGACAAGGTTCTTGACGCTGAGGACAAGGTTCCTGACGCTGAGGACAAGGTTCGTGACGCTGAGGACAAGGTTTCTGATGCTGAGGACAATGTTCCTGACGCTGAGGACAAGGTTTCTGACGCTGAGGACAAGGTTGGTGAGGTTGTCCCATATCGTGATCGGATTTACTAAGCTTTTCACCACTTTTACTCTTTTCCAATCATGAGGAGCGTTCGTAATGAAGATATCAAGTATACTTTGACCCCTTGTGGAAACTTTAACA